CAAAAAGGTCCCACAAAATATTCTCTTCTAAAATAGTCCTCTGAGAATTAGCTATTTTTTGACCCTTTTCCAAAAAAAAAAAAATTGAATAGTAGCTTATCATACACAGTGTGTTGAAGTTCTGGAAATTCTAACTGACCTCCAATATGGAGTTTTTTTTATACCTGTTGGTATCAGATTCAAACACTGCTTCCATCATCACTACCTACATCTTAATAGTTTATCCAAGCACACAGTTATTATTATCATCGTTATTAAGTAGAGATAACATTTCTTAGTTTTCCATAGCATTGTGGTCATGTGACTAAGCATGAGCAAACTTGTAAGTGCTGAACTGTCTCATTGAAAACAAAGCCACCACACCACACTGGTGGGCTTCCAGGATGATTATAATTCCACTACTATTGAAACTCATAAAGTACCTTCTGTGCTTATTCATTTTTAATCAGGGTAGTTTGTGCATATATATATTTACATATATAAATAACTTTTTTCTGAATACAATCTATCATGTATTTTTATTTACTCATAGTTTTCTTTAGATGACTAAAACAGTCAGGATATTGTGATTTTCTTATATTCTTACGGTGAAGGCAATAGTTGCATTCACTTAGTATTTTGCAGTGTACTTCTCTTTACTAATTGAGTTTCATTAAAAAATTGCCAAAGACCAAAAAAAACAAAACCAAAAACAAACCATGAAAACAGTGGCTTATAAAAAAAAGAGAGACAAAAATTATTTCTCTGTTGTGGAAAAATAGAGAGTTTAGGGTTTCACGTAAATACATGTACTGTCGTAGATTAAGTATCCACAAATGTGTGGGATTATTTCTGGGTTTTCCATTTGATTCCATTAGTCTATGCTCCTGTTTTTATCCAATATCCAATATTCAATCACTGTCACTGTCACTGTCACTGTCCTCCCGTTGTTCATCGATTTGCTCGAGCCGGCCCAGTAATGTCTCCATTGTGAGACTTGTTGTTACTGTGTTTGGCATATCAAATACCTCACGGGGAGCTTGCCAGGCTTTGCCATGTGGGCAAGATACTCTCAGTAGCTTGCCGGGCTCTCCGAGAGGGGCGGAGGAATCGAACCTGGCTCGGCCAGGCTGACTGCACGCAAGGCAAATGCCCTACTGCTATGCTATCACTCCAGCCCAATATCCAATAATTCATTTATTTTAATTTTATTTTGTTGCACATCTGGATATGCTCCGGCCTTACTCTTAGCCTTGTGCTCAGGCATATGTGCTTCAGACTCACTTCTTGTGGCGGTTGGAGGGACAGCATGGGGTGCCAGGTATCTAACTGGGACTGGCCACTTGTGAGACAAATACCTTACTTTCTTCACGCTCTCTCTGGTCCCTCCACACTGTTTTAATTTCTATTAAGGTCAGATGATATTTCCACTGTTCTTTTCTCACAATTGCTTTGCTGCTTTATGTAGCTTCATGCAAATTTTAAAATCGTTCCATTTCCCTGAAAAATGTTTTTGAGATTTATAGGGATTGCATTGAATTTTCATTGCTTCCAAGTAATATGGTCATTTTGATCATATTTCTTCTTCTATTTCAAAGCATGAAATATCTTTTCATTTCTTTGTGTCTTCTATTTCTTTTAGTAATGTCTTAGAGTTTCAATGTATAAATCTTCCATCTCTATTTGGTTTCTTCTGAGGATGTTTCTACCTTTTCTGATTTGATTGTGAATAGGTTTACTATTTTAATTTATTCTCTTCTTATGGTTTGCATATAAAAATGCAGAGATTTACTCTTATTGTTTGTATTCTGGTTCACAGTTTTTTTTTCCTAAATTTTATTTTATTAAAGCTCTGTGATTTACAAAACTATTCATAGTTTGGTTTCAGACATATAGTGTTTCATTAGTGATCCTGCTACCAGTGTCAACTTCTCTCCACTAGTGTTCCCAATTCTATCTTCCACCCCTTCCCATTCGCCCCAACCCCCACCCCTCACCTAACATATTGACAAGAATTTTTTAAGTTTGGTTATTACTATTTGGGTCTCGCAATTTCAGTACTGTTGACTCTGTGGTTTAGATATTTAGCTTTACCATTCTTAACACGACCAGTATACCTTGACCCTTACCCCCTGTTGCTTCTCATCTCTCTCATCTTCTCATTCCCCACTCATTCTTTCCTTCTCCTCCCTATAGTTTGATACCAAGAGTGATCTAGGCATTGCTTCTTTTTTTTATATTTTTATTTATTTATTTTTTTATTTTTATAAAGTTGTTCACAAGAATTTTTTACATTCAACATCAGTCCCACTACCAATACACCTTCCCACCGTCATTATTTCTAATATGCCCACCACCCACAAAGCCTGCCCCCAAAGCAGGATTTAAATAATTTATTTTGTATTGGTTCTTATGAATAATCCACTGAAAATGATACCAAAAAGTTTCCTTAGAGGAAAGTATGTGAAAATTGTTGTATCTCACCCTTGAGCCATTAAGCCCTTGTACAAGAGATTAGTAACATGTTGTTACAGGTTGAGCATGTGCAAATATATGCCGGGCTACCGAGAATTGAACTCGGGTCGGCCATGTTGGCTGCGTGCGAGGCAAACGCCCTACCGTTGTGCTCAGCAGTAGGGTGTTTGCCTTGCGTACAGCCAGCCCAGCTGAGCCAGGTTTGATTCCTCTGCCCCTCTGGGAGAGCCCGGCAAGCTACCGAGAGAATCTCGCCCGCACGGCAAAGCCTGGCAAGCTACTGGGACATATGCAATATGCCAAACACAGTAACAACAAGTTTCAAAATGGAGACGTTACTGGGCCCGCTCGAGCAAATTCATATATATGACTATATATCTATTATTTTTTTTTATAGAGATTGTCTTCTACTTTACACTCTATCAATCAGTGGTTTAGAGTATTTGTGGTCACACACTCCAGGAATTCTAAAATTTTAAATAAGGTGCTAGAGCTGGAGTTAAATTTTTAACTGGATGGTGACTTTGGGGTCTGGAGACTTCTCTGCAGCTTGTTGCTCTTTCCTGAGATTTATTTGTGAGTCTCTGGATCATGGCCATTAATGAGCTTGTGGTCCCATAGGCAGTTTGTGGGAATGACTGCCAGGCTCCAGGAAGAACAGGGAGGGGGAGGTTCCCTATTCTCAACTCAGTGTAGGCATCGCCCCTTTAAACCATTGCATTTTCTCATCTAGTTACTCTAAATCCAACATATAAGTGATATCATTCTGTGTTTATCCTTCCTCTTCTGGCTTCCTTCATTTAACATATCTTCCAGTTTCATCCATGCAGTAAATTGAATGATTTCGTTATTTACAGCTGTGTGGCATTCCATCATGTGATCGTTGTACCAATTTTTAGGCTCCACTGATATTTTGTTGAGCATCTAGATTGATTCCAAATCTTCGCTATTGTACTGAGCTACAATGAGTAATTGTCTTCACAGGTCCTTTTGAATGAATGTTTTTCCATCCTTGGGGACAGAAAATACCCCAAAGTGGAACTGCTGTGTCAGATGGTAACTCAACTTGAAGTTTACCGCGAATCTTCTGTACTGTTTTCCACAGGGTTAAACCAGACAACATTCCCACCAACATTGTACTCACAAAGATCACCAGCAAAAAAATTCAAAAGCCCCATCAAAAAATATCACTGTAGCACTGTCCTCCTGTTGTTCATCAATTTGCTGGAGTGGGTACCAGTAATGTCTCCATTGTGAGACTTGTTACTGTTTTTAGCATATTGAATACGCCACGGGTAGCTTGCCAGGTAGCTCTGCCGTGCGGGCCAGATACTCTCAGTACCTTGCCAGGCTCTCTGAGAGGGGTGGAGGAATTGAACCCGGATCATCAAAACATAGGGAGAGGAAATGAACAAGGACTACTCTGAGGAAAACCAATGGCTAACCAACAGGAACATGAAAAAATGCACATCATTACTTATAATTAGGGAAATCCAAATGAAGACAACAATGAGATACCATCTCACACCTGTGAGAATGGTACATATCAAAGCTACTGGGAACAATTTGTGTTGGTGGGATGTGCTTTACTTGATTGAATACAAACATTTTCTATTTACCATATCCTGCATTATTGCCAGACAGTGCTCCTTTTATTTAGGGGAATATAATCACTTAACTTCCCGTTAGTCGTCGATTTGCTCGAGCGGGCGCCAGTAACGTCTCCATTTGTCCCTGTCGCGTGCTAGTGTAGCCCAATGGCATCTTTTCGCTCCGGGAACATGGAGGGCCTCAAACCGATCGTTCATGACCTTGACAAAGAAGTCTGACCATCTGGTAGGTGGGCGGCCACGCGGTCTCTTGACATCCAAGGGGGAATATAGAAGGAATTGTATTTGACTTTGCACAAATTATAGCAAGAACAATTTTTCATCAGAGAGAAAATTTCTTTCATGTTTAGAATCCAATTAAACATTTTTAAGTTTGACTTGTGGTTTTGATTTTTTACAGCTGATTTATTTTTAGGATATAACAGAAGAAAAGATTGACACATGAGTTCAAAGCCTTTATAATTATTTGCTTTATGTAAACATCAAAATCTTCCTAGGCGGGTCACGCTTATGGATATTAAGATGAAATAGGACAAAATAGAAGAGTTTATCATTACTAGAGTAACAAATGGTGTTGTGGCAAAATTGGTTTTTCCCTTCTAAACCACCAGAGGGCACTCTTTTATAGTTTATTTGAACTTTTTACTCGATCTATTGAATTATTATTATTATTATTATTATTATACTTTGAACATTTTGAGAGCTTTATTGGCATTCAGGTTTGAATTATTTGGAGACTAATGATTGTTTTTTTGTAACTGTTATTTAGTTTTGATTTGTTTTATAACAGCACCATTAAAATGGGACTGTGCAAACAAGCCAATTTTAAATGCTTTAAGCAATAGAATATCTGGCATAAAATATTGTTAATTTAGTCACTTTTTTTGTTTACTTCACAGTTCTATAATGCCACTCTTTCTGTTTGTTTGTATTAAGGTTTCAGATAGGGTGGAGCGTCGGCTTCAGGAAATAGAAAGAGAGATGCGCACTGAAAGAGAGCTGGTGGAAAAACGGCAGGATCAACTGGGACTTATTTCTTTGCAGCTACAGGAGGTTTGTTAATAATAATTTCTTCGAATATAAGCCTTGAGATTGAATCGTTCTTTTGCCATTTTCAGGTTGTAGTTAGTCATTGCATCACAATCACGATCACCATCATGATCATCCTGTTGTTCGTCGATTGTCTCAAGCAGGCACCAGTAACGTCTGCTTCGTCCTAGCCCTGAGAAATGCTTTTTCAGGGTTAGGAGAATGAGACCCATCATTGTTACTGGTATTTGGCATATTGAGTACACCACGGGGAGTTTACCAGACTCTGCTGTGCGGGCAGGATACATCGTTGCATGTGACAGCATTAATCAGAGCAGAGGAGATAGTAATAGTTCATAATAATAATGAGTGAAGACAGATGTTCCTGGTTCAAACCCAGTCTGTTGTTTACCGCCGTATCACTTTGGATAAGTTCCGTAGCTTCCTTAGACCCTCTTTCTCTGGGAAATGGGCGAAGTATTTACTTAATCCTTTAGTATGAGCATAACTATATTATTACTAGTAAAGTCTATAGCTTGTGTGCTCAAAATGTTAATAGAAAGGAAAATTATTGTAGTGAGTTTTTCTTGATTTGAATTAAGCCAGGCATTAGTAAATTGTGATTGGATGGCCCAAATCTGGTTATTGTCACTTTTTGTGAACACAGTTTTAGGTGTTACTGTAACACAGCAAATTCCCTACAAAGTTTGTCAGTGGGGTACAGTGTGATCCAGCATGAGAGTTAAGTACTTGTGAAAGATATTGAATGACCCACAAAGTCCCAAGTATTGACTGTTTCTTCCTCTCAGTTTCAATTTGAGGGGAGAGTGTTGCATCATATATACCTGGTGGTGCTCAGAAACTTCTCTTGGCTCAGGACTTGGCGGCCACTCCTGGCTGTTCTTGGGACCTTGTGGTGCTGGGGAATGAACCCCAGCATACAAAGCATGAATTCCTGTTTGTTGAGCTCTCTCTCCAGCCTAACTGTCCCTTTGATAGAAAGTTGGCTGACCTGGATAACTATCAACATGTGATAATTGGAATAGAATTGTCTTAAACTTTAGATACCTTTTCTGTTTTGAAATTTCAGTTTTCTACAGAAGTTGAAAAAACAGAACAAGAGATTTCTGTATACTCTGCCTAAATTCTCTCAGACTTTTCAGCATCACGATTTGTCATTTATAAGTGCTCTCACGCCTAAATAATATGGTATCTGTGTATTCTTCTCATCATCACTGGAAATTGATGGTGGCTTAGTAATATGATTTAATCTATAGTTTCTTCACAAATTTCTTTATTAATTTTTTTCTTGGCCAGGAAACAGTAAAATAAGTAATCATCTTGTCTCTTTATAGTCTCCTTTAACCTAGAACTTTTTTTTTTTTTTTTTAGTTTTTATTTGCTTTCAGAGTAGCAGGCAAGTTAATTTGTTTTCCATTTTGGGTTTGTTGATGTTTTCTCCTTACTGTATTTAGTTTCTCAGCTTTTGGCAGGAAACCCAGAGAGTTGGTGTTGTGTTCTTTCCTGAATATCATAAGAGGAGGCATATAATATTTGTCTGTCACATTCTGGTGAAAATTGAGCATTTGGTCATGAGGTTGCCTGCCAGATAGCTCACTATTAAGTTGTTGTTATTATGCCCTTTAAATTTATTTTATTTTACTCTTTGACATTTGAAAATTAATCTATTATCATACTTTCACCTATAAATTTTAGAGTATTGATTTATTCACTTAACACTTATTAGTAAGTACTGTTTAGTGGTGTTTTAAAACCAATTTATATTCTCTCTCTAACAAGGTCTGTGCCCTTAGGATGATTTTTCCCTGTCATGCAGTTCAGTGTCTAGTACATCCATTTGTAGAGAAGGTTTAAAATAGACACATTTAAAGAAATATATAAGACTGAAGAACAGTTGACATTGCTGGGGTTGAAGGAATGATGTTGTTTGTGTAATTTTGGGTTCAAGAGGCATTTGGGAGGGCCTTTCTCAGCCGGGGGGTCCAGGAAAGGGGGTCACAGATCTTGCAGAAGTCATGGAGCAAGCTGGGGACTGGCATCCTCAATGCATGATGCACCCAACTAACAGAAGAAGCCAGTGTCAGTTTTCTGGATCCTTGGGTGCGTGCCTTGGGTTTGAGAGGAGTTTGGGAGGGGCTTCCTCATTCAAGGGGTGAAATGGGGGGTACCCAGGAAGGGGTAACAGACCATGCAGAAGTTGCAGAGCAGGTTTTCTCTCCACATTTATTAGTTTCTTTCCTACTGCAAGATGGGGGCGGGGTTGGTCTTTTTATTTATTCATTTATTTATGCTGGTGTAGGTTTGTGAATTATATAATGTTGTGTGTTATTACTACTATTATAGAAAATTGTTGAAACTGTTGAAATTTCCTTTAAATGTTAGATTTATACAAAGTGTAAGAATTATAAACAGAAAATAAATGCTTTTTATTTTATTATTGCATCACAGTGAGATACACAGCTACAAACTTATTCATGATTGGATTTCAGTCATTGGGTTACACACCTGTCCCTTCACCAGTGTACAACCAATGTCTTCAATTTCCCTCCTCTCCTTCCTCCCTTCCCCTCATCTGTGGCAGGCTCTCTCTCTCTGTCTCTCTCTCTCATATTGTTTTTTTCCTCTCTCTATCTCTCTGTCTCTATCTCTGTCTCTCTTTGTCTCTCTGTCTCTGTCTCTCTGTGTTTCTCTCTTATTTTGGGCATTATGGTTTGTAATACAGATACTATAAGTCATGAACTTTACTTATAAATGGATGGACATAGACAGTATCATGCTGAATGAAATGAGTCAGGAGAGGGACAGATATAGAATGTCTACACTCATTTGTGGGATATTAGAAAACATAATATGAGACTAATATCCAAGGTCAGGAAAAACAGGGGTCAGGAGGACTGGTCAATGATTGGAAGCTTGCCACAAGTGTGTATGGGGCAAAAGGTAATTAGGATAGAGAAGAGACCAGTATGACAATAATGGTTAGAAGTGATATATCTGAACAAGAACTGAGAAATGCTTTTTTATTTTTTAATAAGATGGTTTTCTCTAAAAGCATATTCTGTTAGTGTACTTACATATGCTTGGTGATAAGACCCTTTAAAATGGACAGATTTAAAAAAAATTCTTTTTTAAAGTATTAGAAGACACTGTCAGTTGAAAATTAGGAACAAAAATTGTCACTGAAATTATAAGATGATAGGAAAAATCTGCTTTTAGTTTCTAAAATTCTACTTGCCTTTATTTCTTGAATAGAGACCTGCCCTTTTTAGTTGATAATAGATTTGAAGAGGATGCTTTGTTGAATAATTAGATGCAGCATGTGGGTAGCTTTTTTAGTTTTTTAAATAAAAAAACAAAACCTTGATTTTTTATACATTTGTTCTCCTAGCAAATTGCATCTGGTGAGCATAAGAATAGTACTAGGGAGACAATTGTTCTTTTTTGCAAGAGAAATTTTCCATACTTATTTTCTTCTCTCTGCAGAATGCACAAAATTACAAAGAATGAGAGAGAGAGAGAGAGAGAGAGAGAGAGAGAAAGAGAGAGAGAGAGAGAGAGGAAGGAGATAGAGGGAGGGAGAGAGGGACGGAGAAGGGGGTAGGGAGGGAGATTCTGAGAGAGAGAGGAAAGAGAGAGACAGAGACAGAGACAGAGACAGAGATAGAGACAGAGAGAGATTGTTTCCATCCCCATTTTTGAGAAATCAGAGGTTGAGTAATTGTCAATTTGACTGAACGCTGAAGCTTTGGTTTGGAATTCCTTCTCTGACAATACAATAAAGGATCCCTCTTAAACTCTTGATAAAAAATGTTTGACTTCATATTTTGTCACTTTAATATAAGCAGTGACCTATGGGCTTTTCAAAGGTGGTTTTGGATTAAACAGTGCAATCGGGACTGAAAGGATTAATTTAGGATGATACGGTTTTTCTACTCCCAAGTTAAGTGGCTTAGACAGTTCTGGAAAGGTTATGTTTAAGGAGAGAAAACACTGCTTTCTCTTCGATATTAAAAAACACTTGTGGAAATGTCTGTACTGTATAATAACTGATATGTATTTTTTCTGGCTACAGTGAGAAGTTGAATATATACGTGAGGAGTAGGCTTTAGACTCTGAGTCACCACCTCCCTAAAATGTATAATTTAATTTTAATTTTATAATTTAAAAGTTGAGAGAGAGGAAGTGCTCATTAAAAATTCTAGGATGTCAGAGACTCTAGTTATAATGCTGTACTACTTCTAGGGAGTAAAACCATGGTTTTGGCTAAAGCTGCTGCTTTTACTAAAAATGGCCTAATAAGGGCCTCAGGTTCTCTGAGTTTTGTGCATTGCCCTTCAATGAAAAACAGTCTTAGTCACTGGAAATTAGTTGAGGAAAAGCCATTCTCCTTTTTTTTTAGTGTTTCTAAGGAATTTTTTTCATTCTTTTAACCTTTTTTTTTCTTGTTTCTTTTCTTTTCTTTTTCTTTTTTTTTTTTTCCCCTAAGCAAAGGGGCTGTGTATACTCTGGAATTAACTTTCATTTGGGGCAGGGGGGAGGTTTTGGTGCCAGGGCAGCAAACTTGGGTCAGCCATGTGCAAGACAAGAAATAACCCTTAACTGACTTTCAGACCTCATATATCATCATTTAAACAGCATTGATTTGGTTTCTCAGTAGAAGTCTCTCGGGAGAGATGCATGCTTCATATTAATTGTGGAATGATATTCTTTTAAAATTTCAATGTTTTTCTAGTACTCTGATCTTTTACTAATTTGATTAAGATATTATTAAGTCTTTAACTACAGTAATTGTTGCAAACAATAAAGTTTTCCTCCTTTTGATCTTGTGCTTTATAGTAAATCTAGTAGAGGGGTGTTTTCTATAGTTGTACGGAGAATGTATTTAGACTGAAGCTCAAGTAAGAACTCTTGTAGGTTTAAGATTCTAATTTCTTACATTTCAGTCATCAAAATGGTCTAAAGCCTCCACACTTCTGTTTTTAGTTGTATGTATCTTCTCCTAA